CATTTTAATAATTGATGCCGTCTTCTCCAGGAGGAGTTTAGTCTGGACTGCAAGCATAAAACGAGACATTTAGAGCTCTGTGGTAATTGCCACGTTAGTATATTCCTCTCTATTAGGCCAGTGTGCAGCTGGTTTAATGGTTCCTACAATATTTATTTAGCTGTAATATTTTTCCGACCAAAGTCATCGACTGACCGCGTTTCTGATTAGATAGCTGTGGTAATGCATGTTTAGGCCATTGGAGAACAGCTCGTTTTGGCCGCTAATTAGCATTAGCAACTGCTTTCAAAGGCCTTACTCTTAAATAAAATCCAATCCTTGGTATTGTAACCCAGATTAAAGCAGCACTGAACTTCTGTAGCTTCCTTTTATTCTACTTTCTCCATGCAGAACCATACTTAGGCATCAACATACAGTCTGAAAAAGATGACCGTTGGGTTAATTGGTTTCTGTAAATTGCTCTCAGTGAAGTTTGTGCATGTATGAGGTCTTTTTGTCCTCCGTGTGTGTGTGTGTGTGTGTGTGTGTGTGTGTGTGTGTGTGTGTGTGTGTGTGTTACCCTGTGATGGACTGGCAACCTGTGCAAGGGCGCCTCTCGCTCAATGACTGCCAAAGATAATATTTCTATTCTGTCTAATAATTTCTACTACAGTTTTTTTGTTGTTTTTGATTCTTTGACTCTTTGACTTTGAACACAAAAGTTCGTTAAGTAGTCGGTCTATATCAGTGTTACAATAGTTTAGAGTTTTTTGTTATACATATAGTTTTGTTTCTTTGTGCCTTTTTGTCTAATTCAATTAGTTTTAAATTAGGGTCTGCTACTTTTTTATTAGTTAATAGTTTAATTTTGTTTGGCCTTCATTAGCTATAGTTTTAGTTTTAGTTTTTTCATTCTTTGGTTCATATTTTAGGTGTGGAATTCAAAAAAGTGAAAGTGCTGTGATTATTTATACATCGATTAGATAATGAATACTCAACAGAACATATAAAAAAATTAATGGTTTCAATTACAACCAACTGACTCTGTGTTTTCTCCCAAGTTTTGCTCCCGCCATTCAGTGGAGTAGCATAAATGCTGCTAAGAGGCGTACGGAGTGGCGTAATTTGCTGACCGCTGATGTAAACTGCTAATAAATAGATTAAAACAAGGGATATTAAAGTCATAAGTTCAGTGTAGTTCTAGTTAGTTTTTCCCTCCATTAAATACAGTTTTATTTATTTCAGTTAAAGTGTTTTCTCAATTTCAGACTTTATTGTTAGTTTCAATGAATAACTCTGGTCTAGATCAGACCTTTTCTTGGCAACAGATGTGCTAAACAGACTGTCAGTATTCAAGAGATGTCCTCCTCCATTCTTGAGAAGACAAACGTAGAGTTCAGCTCAGAGTTTAGAAACATTATGACTTCTATGATCAAACCATAACATTTTTATAAACTCAAATAGTAGACAACACACTACACTGAATATGTTTAATTGTTAATATTCTATCATGATAATATTTCTCCTAAAATTTTCAAGCGTGTTAAAATAACAGATGATCAGTTATGTCTGATTGTTAAATTTTTTTTTGTGATGAGACAGAAATTTTGAACAAATTTAGCTGGTTTTGGATGTGTAGGGAGACCTGGATCCTGTTCTGAGAATGTTTTCCTTAGTTTCCCCTTTTTTGCGCGTACTTGAATTCATGACAATGCATTTGTATTTTATTTGTTGTTGCTGTGAGAGTATATATAGTTTTTACAGTTTGGTGGCTATATGCAGTGCATTAAATTTAACAGAAAAAAAAACCCAGATCTCAGCTACACACTGCAGACCAACTCTATGTCGTTAAAGGAAAATGGTGTGAACTCTGACCTAGCCTTCTGTCTCTGTGTGCTATTAACACATTTTTGTCTGAGGAAGAAGCTGTAGAAAGAGAGGCTGGCTTCCTCCTGTCATGATCGGGGTTGAGAGATAATCCTGCCAGCAGCAGTGATTTCATACTTCATGGTTCAGCAGCTGGACCCACACAGCTGCTCACAGGCCTCCCTATTGAAACCTGGGTCAGCAAAACCCAGAACCTCCAAAAATGTTCAGGTAGGCTGGTTGGACTGGAAGGCAAATGACTCATTCTCTATTGCCAGTTATAGTAGCTGCGTTTCCATTGACCGTTTAATTGAGCAAATGGACATTTAAAAATGAATTTGCTTAATGAAAATATGACGATTACAAAAAAAAAAACTCTAGTTTTTCAATAGAGGTTTGGCACTAGAATGATGTGTTTTTTTTCTAATCTAAATTGGATTACTTCACAAAACTGCAATGGAAACACTTGTTTTGCATCGCATGAGCCACACGATCAACAACAGGATGTTACTACTGGCAGAAACCATGAAGAAGAAGACAGGAAGTAGTTGGACGATGGTCTTTAATGACTTATCGCATGAGCAAACTTATTCACGTGTTATTTTATTTCCGTTTCCTATTTAATGGAAACCCTGCAATTGCGAAATTGTGTTTTTTCAACATTAGTGGAGTGCTGACAAAGTTTTGCAGGAATTCGTAATGGAAACCCAGCAAGTGAGTTCTTTTTTGGGGGGGGGGCAAAAGTATCTTAAAAAGTCAGAGAAGTCATTGTATTCGTCACAGATGTTGAGAATGGATTTCCACTCATCCTTATCACTCACACTTCCCACACTTACTATCATGTTACAATGGCGAATCGTTTTTCTCAAGAAAGATCAGAACAACCTTGAACAATTGACATGAAGTTCTTTATTTTCTTTTCTTCGAAGGGCAACTTTGTTTGTAGCAGTCTGCCAAATCTGAAAACATCTAAACAGAATATAACCTTGTGTGGGTGACTGTGGCTCTGTGGGTATTGCAACCGGCCACAGAGCCTACAACCTACAACAATCGGTTGTAGGTTGCAACCGATTGCAAGGTTGCAACCTACAACCTTGCAATCGGAAGGTTGTAGGTTCAATTCCAGCTTCCTCCTGCCACATGTCAATGTCCCCCTGGGCACCTAACCCCAAAATGTTTGTGAGTGCGAATGGGTGAATGTGACTCTAGTGTAAAGCTCTTTGAGTGGTCAATAATGATTGGATAAAGTGCTATATAAGTTCAGTCAATTTACAAAACAATATCAGGACTCTTGGCACCCTGAATAATTTAAAGCTCCAAATCCTACAAAAATAAAAGAGCTCCAGGACAGGTTTGATCTTACCCTTTAAACCACCTTAATGAAGAAGTCTGAACTCTGTGAGTCTTTCATGATTGATTTTTGCCCTCTTAGTGGCTCTTTGAAGATCTGACTGAGGTCTCTCAAAGCAACGTGAAGTGGGGCATTCAGAGCGTCAAGAAAGGAAATTTAAGAAATGAGCATGAGCAGACTGTTCAATGTTTTAACTGGTGGAAGTTATTCTTTACCATGTTTGTTTTCTGACATCAAACTTTTTAATTTTTACTGGTTTACTACAGAATTATATTTCTTGATTTATTTTTGGGGTTGGGAAAATAAAACAAAAACATTAGGTATACATTACCGCCACCTATTGGTATGGAGTGTGGCCCAAAATGTCTGATTTATGTCTTTTCTTGAACTGCCTCTAAAATCAGCTACATTTCTTTCCAAGTCATTGTTAATATCCTGACGATTCCTATAAGACGATTCCTCCGGGTCACAGGTCAAGTGTTTGAAAGTGAATAATTCTCCAGGGCTTTTTCCATCACCTGAAAAAAAAATGCACATTCTCTTGTGGAAATCTACTTAATACGAAGAGTTGGAATATTTTAGTAAAAGTTGAACATTTGTGTCAAATACCTGAAACTTTCCTCCGTTTCTCATCCTTTACTTTTGCACCTCTTGACAACAGTCTGCCCTCTCACTTCCCCAGCGCTGGGTTTTTTCTTTTTTTTTTCTTGTTTTTTAGTTTTCAAGCAGCTTTTTTTTTGTTCAGGCAGGTATATATCTGCCTATTGCTCTCTTCTCTTCTCTCTGTCTGTCTGTTCCTAAAGTTGTAATTATCTCCAATACTTGATAAAAGCCTCAGGCTCTCTCCCACTCTCCCTCTCAATCTGACTTTATTGCCTTCATTATATTGCACTTAATCAACGCTCGGTGCTTTTTCAGCTCTGTTTCTGATCTCTTCCCCCCTCCCTCCCCGTCTTGTGCTTCTTCTCCATCTCCTGTAGTATTTGTTTTCTCCTCTGATTTCACAGCAGCCTCGCCTTGTATTTCCCGCTCTCTCCAGCTGTCTTCCGTACCGCGGGCGAAGTATATTGTCAGTGTAATGAATTGTCAAAAATGGGTCAAATAGCGAAACGCGTTCTCTTTGCCTTCCCCTCTCATTTTCCGTTATCGCACGCTGTTCTGGGGTTTTACCTGATGCCGGGGTTTCTCCTCCGCCTCCCGTTTTTGCCGCCTTTCGTAACTCTCCACTTTCATCTCACATGGCTGCACATTCAATCTCGGGGCCTCTCTCTCTCTCTCTCTCTCTCGCTCGCTCGCAGATGCCTCCGGACTGACAGGGCGCACTTTGATGCTTCGCTCCGTGTGCTAAAAGGCAGCAGAGTCTCTTTGCAAGAGCCCAGGAGGATCCACTGCACTTATTCAAGTGCAGTTTGACATTCTTTTTCTCTTTTTATTTCTTCTTTTTTTCACCTGGATCCAAATGAGATGCCTCATGGTCAGCTAACAATAATAATAATAAAAAAAATTGGCTTGTTTGCAGAGATATCCCTCGAACTTTATTTGAATAAGTTGAATTAAAGTCCATTTATTCAAACACATTATTCATCTTACTCCCAGCACAGCAGGACCCAAGCTGTGAGGGGATGTGAGTGTAGGTGTGTGTGTGTGTGTGTGTGTGTGTTTCTGTCTCTGCTTTCTAATGGGAACAAATCTGGATGGATGAAATGGATAATGAATCATCTGAGGATGCAACTAAAGATGAAATTACCATTAGATCATAACGCGATGTTAATTATTATCCTCTGCTTTTTGTTGTGTGTGTGTGTGCGGGTGTGTGTTTTCCAGGATGGTTGAATATTCCCTGGATTTGCAGAACATCAACTTCACAGCCATCAGGACGGTGAGGGTGCTGCGGCCTCTCAAGGCCATCAACAGGGTGCCAAGTAAGTGGCCAAATCTCTTCAGAATTAATTTTCTTTTATGTTCTGAGCTAAAATCGTAATTTTTATTTCATCTGCTGTTTATCTTCACCTCTTTCCGCTCTGTTCCGTGGCAGACTTATCTGGGTTAATGAAAGTTTGTGTCTGCTGCAGTACATTTTGTAATAACAGTTTCCAAACCCGTTTTGGGTTTCTTTCTGTTCCTACTTTAAGTGAAGAATAAATTGATATTTTTTCTTAGTTACTACTTTATGTGACTTCACTACTTTCTAACTTTAATTTAGAAAGTTTATTATTTTTGGCTTTAGTCATATTCGTATTGAGTCGACTGGCAGTGTAAAAAGGCATGACGTATAATCTACATACTGCTCTGGAAAACATTAAACGACCACTGAAAATGATCAGTTTCTCTGATTTTACTTTTTACAGGTTTATGTTTGAGTAAAATGAACATTGTACTTTTTATCCTATGAACTACTGACATGTCCCTGAAATTTCAATCAAAAATTTAGTATTTATTTGCAGAAAATTAGAAATGGTCAAAGTAACAGAGAAGATGCAGTGCTTTCAGAGCTCAAATAACGGCAAAAAAAAAAAAAAAAAAAGAAAAGAAGTTTGTATTTGTTTAGAAACAACAATACTGATGTTTTAACTCAGGAATAGTTCAGGAATCAATATTTGGTGGAATAACCAGGAGGTTTTCAATGGGGTTCAGTGCTGTGAACTCTTTTGTTTCAGAGCTTTATATTAAAACCTAATTTAAAAATGTATACATGTGAACATTTTCATGGTTTTTCATCTCCATCATTTATTAGAAATGGTTTATTTCCAGGTTTGACATGGAAGCAAGTTGGGTTGAAATGAAAAGAATTTTTAAAACCCCAAGTTTGTTGTATTATTATGCAGTTTGTACCTGTGCTTAAAGTAAATAAAATGTATACACTGAACAAGCACCACCGCTGGAGAACATTCTGCATAATGGCCTTTCTGTTAAGTTTTGTTGGATGTGCAGCTGTTGCCTTTTTGAGCTCCTCTCTACGACTGAACCAACCAGGAAGTTCATGCTTCAAGATTTTGAGGACTAATCAAAATCTTGAAAATGAACGGCCGATGAAGAAAACTGTCAATCCAGAGGGGGAAAAAAAAAAAAAAAGAAAAAAGCTTCCAACAGTCAAAAGCGTCAATGAAATGATTAAAACGCGCCTTTGAAGCCGGTCACATTAATTCCTCGAGTGTTTTGCTGAAGTTGATGTCCTTTTGATGAGATCTGTCTGAACGTTTTTGCTCGCCACATTTTTTCCTTTTTTTTCTGTGTTGATATGACTAAATTGTGCTTAGCAGGCAATCACTCTAAGAGGCTATGAGTACTCTCTAAGTTGGAGGCTGGTGCTTGAAGTTAATGTTTTGCTTCCTTTGTAATTGCTTGCTGCGCACCACCCACTGCTCATACATCTGCAGCGCAAACGAAGCTCTTTGTCTTCCTGCCTCTATAAAAGTGAGGGAAGCCAATATGGCTGGTGAAAAAGAAATGCAATATTGGTATTTTTTGCCACAAATCATGTTGTGAAACGTCAATTGATCCTTTTTTTATCACTATGTTCTAAATTCTTTTTCATTTAAAATTTACTTTACCGAAATTCCATGCGCTTGTTTTTATGCCATTCTTATATCTTTCCTTTACCACAGCAATTAATTTTTTTTTTTTTTTTTACAATATTGACACCAGTTAGGTATAACATTCTGATGGCCTGTCTAATAGTGTATTGATTCACTTTTTTACTGCTAATGTGAGTTTCTGGCATGATTTGAGAAACGGTGTGTGTATGATCCAGTGTTGTTACGTGAAGTGTTTGAAAAGTGTGTGACGGTGTGGAGGGAGAGTTGAGAGACGCGATCGGGTCAGCCCAGTGTCAGGAAATGATCGATCGAGACCGGCCGGGTCGGTTAACATAATTGACCCAGAATATTCTGTCCAGCTCCGCCCAGAGGTAAATTGAAAACAGTGATGCATATCACTCAAAGCGAACTGCACTCATGCTGTAAATACACCACATCATTCATGAAATTCATACTGGCGTTTAAAGGGGCAGTGCTATGTAAATGTGACTTTCAGCTTACGTCATGTTATTCTCTCATCAAAACTGGAGTGTTGCCTTGATTCTTTCATGCATGTTTAATAAGATCCTTTAGTCTCAATGGCAACCATTCAGCTGTGCAAAACGCCTGGTTGGACGTAGCCCCGCCTTTGAGGATAAAGCTCCTCCTCTAAGGTGCAGTTTCGAGCTTCTTAAAGAGACAGAGGCCCAATTTAAAGCTGTCAAATTACAAAGTCTATGACACAACTGGAAGGTGACATAGTGACTTGACTGTGCTATAAAATGTCAGTATGTGGTTGGAAAACACATAACACTGCCCCTATAGGAGAATCATTGTAAGTACAAAGTGGTTTCTAAATGTTTTGGCATAGTTTTCAAACCTTTATTATTTTTTTCCCATCATGTTTGCTTGCCGATTTGTTTTGCTTCCGAGACATCGAGGGCAAAATGTTAATTTGGTCTCCCCTAAACCCAACAGTGTCATGGCGCCCTGAAGAAGAGATAATCAGCGTTATGTACTTGACTTCCCCCTCTCTTGGTTGGTAATGTTAGTCATACAATGTCAGTCTCCTTCCACTTGGTCTGACTCTTAGCTTTCTTCATCATCTTCTCCTATATCATTTACATAATTTCATCTCGTCCATCTCTCCATGGTAAAGGCACTAGTCGTCCTCTGGGAGTAATCTGTTCCACAGGGAGAGAGAAGGAAAAGAAGGGGGGAAAACGTGTGATCTTGTCCTTTAAATTGTGAATTGTGGAGTCAGGAAGGCTGAGCTGATCAGCAGGGACAGCAGGACCAAAGCCTGACATTCTCACCAGATATTTATGTCTTTATACACAACTCTAATGGAAACATGTTGAGGAATTGACTTGGTTTTAAGCCAGATTCCAGGTGTTGAGTTTATGTTGCTGGAGTAACTGGATGCTCTCATGCAATGAACTGCAAGGACACACATCTGTTGTCAAATTAATAACAAAAAAATATATAATAATAATGCAGAACTTCCTCTTTGATATAGGCAATTAAGAAACAAATGCATGATCAGCACCTAATGGATTGAAGAGTAATTAATAAAAGCCTGAGTAGAACGCTAACGTTGATTTAAAATATCATCAGTGAAAGCAAGTACTGATCAGCATCATATCTTTATTTTATATAAAATAAATCAATAAGATGATGGTTAGCATTAAAGGTAAGCTGGCAAATATGAAAATACACAATCGTTGTTACGCAGAATCCAGCATTTTCAATAAGGACATGGAATTTGGGTTAGTGAAACTTTTGCATGAAGGAAAAATTAGAAGGTGATGGGATTGTGGGGGTTAAGCGAAAGAGACAAATGGAGTTGGGAAGATGGGATTATCCAGCCTTACGAGGGACGGGTGGAGATGGAGTGGAGGGAGGGAGCGATGACGAGAGGAGGGGTGCTGGGGAACCCACATGAACAGGCCATTACAATGATAGATGGGCGCGAAGAAGTGCAGGGGACGGAGGGAGGGACTCATCTGTTGAATAGAGATAAAGCAAGCGAGGGACAAAAAGGACGAGAGGAGTGGCGTGAGAGGAATGAAGGAAGCGGCGATTATGAATGATAAAAAGAGAACGCGCAATCAGAGCAATGTCGTTTTTTATTTCAGTGGATTTGTTAGCGTTGCGGTCACCGTGTTCTGTGAAACAGAAAAAACCTGTAATCCAGGTGTAAACACAGTGTTTACAGTCTTGAACTGATGAAAGACACAAAAGGCACCAAAATGAACCAGTATCAGTTACAATACATTCATCTTTTTACAATTAAGTCAGAGTATCTAACACTCGCTAAGTGTTAGACACTCTAATGCCATAAGGCTTGGCAGTAGAATATTTATTCAAACTAAGCTAATATTACATATTTTTAAAATTCATTAAACACAAGCATACTAAATAACTTAAGTGTTCATTTTGTCGACTTTCACCACTGTTTAGTGAAGTTTGTAAAAGTGTGTGTGGACGAGAGCAGGAGTGTGATTGGCCTGGAAATGAAGTGGCTGGATGGAGTTCAGCCATTATCTGCTCTGACATGTCAAAATGCCTTCTGGAAAAATCAATACCTGGAGTCCTTCCATGGAAATCCAAACTCTGGGGCATCGCTGTCAGGCTCGAATTATGCGGAAAAAGTTGAAGATCATAAATGCTGATTTGTAAAGATTATTACTGTGAATTACCCTCATCATCCTCCATCAGCGCCGCATGCAAGTGTTTATCTGTTTAAAGCCGCGTCCCTAAGGGAATCCTGCCATCTTTCTTGATTTTTAAATGAATGTCACTTTTATGATTTATGAACTATTGGCAAGAAAATGATCAACGTAGATTGGAAGTGTCACACATGATTCACTATTATCATTTTACCCACAGTCATACCTGCAGTTATTTAGCTTCTCTTTATTTGCAGCATGGGTAGGGAAGCAAATCTTAGCTATAATAAAAACAATTTACCACAAAGCTCATCTCAGAGTGCAGGGCTAGTACAGCACCACACACACACACACACACACACGTGTACACCAACACTTGTTAGCAGAAGATGACTGAATGATTGCGCTCGTACTCTCTGTGGAGGATCCGTGTGGTGCGAGTCAATTAATTGCACTAATGGAAGTTCTCCTTGTTTGGCTCCCACCGGCCGCAGCTTAAAAGCCTCAGTCTGTTGTCTGCATTACCCTCTGTCCCCACGGGAGGCGCCGTGTTAGCAACCAAGGTAACGGCCATCAGCATATTCCCACTCTGTCCGTCTGTGTCCATCTGCTCCCAGTGCGTCTCGCCTTTAATCTGGAGTAAGCCCATCTCAACCTGGTTCTCACGTCGGCTATAGAGTTTCCTTCTGCTCACTGTTTCCACAGCCGGCGCAGACGATTTCAGCTGGTCAGAGTTAAAGACATTATCTATTATATTTGGTATTATTAAATCAGTTGTACAAGCTAATTGAATACTTGTTTTATGTTCTATAGCTGCTAATAAAAGCTTTTACACCCTGAAGACGGAACCATTGGAGATATTAAATCCTAAGCCAGAGGAATCCTTTTTACACTCCTATAATGACCTGAAGAATTGATCGTCTTTCCTTTATGTATCGCCCGTAAATGGCTGCATATTTCAATCTTTATTTGAATTAAAGACTAGTTTGATAGTGCTGCGCTTTAAGCCGCTGCAGACTTCAAACGGACCTAATCAATGGGAGACTTCCGTTTCATCTTTCTCAAAGGAAATCCCGGCCTGTGATATTTATTACCCAACAGAAACAAAGTCAAGGTTAAACTAAACCTTTGCTGTATTTTCAGCTTAAAGAAATCCAGTTACAGTCGTCAGCCGATTTCCTTCCACTGCTGTTTTCAGATGAACGGATAGAAACAAGTTCTGGTGTTTACTGGAGAACATTTTACTCTGCCTGTAGAACATGTTCATTCACTGGATGTTTTACCCCTTTTGTCAGTCAATCATGATCAATAAAATTAAGTTTTCATTACAGAAAAATCAAGAAAACAAACTTTAATGTCAAAGTGAAAACTGATTTCTGTAAAAAAGTTGCATAACATATTTAACAAATAATGACTGCATAAATATTCACCCCCTTTTGAAAACAGGTTTTAATGTCAGTTTTATAAAAGAATATGTTGTTTTACTTTCTTCTTCTTTTTTTAAATAACTGCAATCCCTTTTGGCCCCAATTAGCTAAATCCTCCATCTTCAGTCTACTTTACATGCAGCACTAACCACCGGTTTAATTTTCTTCTGGAGATCTTTGTTAAAATAAAGGCTGTTTGACTATTATTACTGTGGAATTTGATGATTTTTTTCATTATAATATTGCAATTAATGGAATGGAAATTTCACAATGCTCTAATAATTTCAGGGTGAGCAAGAGAATGAAGGTGTTGATGTGGAATAATGGATATTTGTGTTCGAGATAAAACTACAGGAGTCGTTTGAAAGACTTTGTTTCTTGTTTCTCATGTATTCGCTCACCTGGAACACAGCGATGCGTCTAGAACTCAGGTTTTAGACAGTTTCTATTTAAAACATTAAGTATTACATACAACGGCATATTGGGGACAATCTAGATAAAAAAAAAGAGAGGAGTAAATTTCCACTAAAGTACCTTCAACATTTGTTTTTATTAAACTTCTAGAAAAATGTGGAAATTTCTGAGTTTGAAAAGACATAAATTTGCAATAAAAACTTCAGAAATGTTCATATTAATCTCTGAAAATATTCAGAAAACAATTTTATTTTTTTTCCCTTCCATATTCTCAAATTTGGAGCTCAGAAATTGTTTTTTTTTTTTCTTCTGTTTTTTAGAAAACTTCTGAGATTTGTTGGTGGAAATGTACTTTTTTTTTTGTTTGTTTTCCTCAAATCTACAGTTGCCCTAATGCACAATTTTAATTTTGAGATACAATTATAAGACTCTCAGATATATTGTTCAGTGTTTCGTACGTCATCTTTAAAATCTCTCTCTGGTGAGCAGGACATTGCTGAGCAACGTCTCGTTCATGTTAGTTTTGATATTGTGAGAACCTGAACCATAGCAGACAGACATGACATGGCCTCCAAAGCACTTACCTCCCAACTTTATCAAAGTGTGATCCACACAGCCCCAACTTTAGAGCCCTGAGGCCCAAACCGGTCCACCGTTCCAGGACCAAACAGTTCTACTTAATGTCAGAACTGCATTTGGTCATATTGGGCGTCTCCATCCACGAGTGACGAGTGTAAAGCTTTGATTGAATTTAGGTTGTTGATTGACATTCAAATATTTTCTCTCAGTTCAGAGGTCTCTCTGCAATAATATCCAGAAGAAAGCGCTTTTAGTTATTTCAACTTCATTTTGCTGGTTTTAGTGTTTCTGTTTTCAAACGTTGAATGAACTTTCATTAAAAAGTTACTTTTTACACATGTATACTGTGTTGGTGTACTCACCGCATATCTGCATGAAGGCCGATCTGCCTGCTTTTATATGCTGCACTTAGCATGTTCAAACTGTGCTTCCACTTGTCCGTGTGTCACTGCAGGCATGCGTATCCTGGTGAACCTGCTGCTCGACACGCTGCCCATGCTGGGTAACGTGCTCCTCCTCTGCTTCTTCGTTTTCTTCATCTTCGGCATCATCGGGGTGCAGCTGTGGGCGGGGCTGCTCAGGAACCGCTGCTACCCAGAGGAGAACTTCACACTGTGAGTCCTCGTCTGGTTTTGTGTGTTAGGCTGGAAACGGGCATAAGGAACCCCGGTGACTTCTGTCTCCATGGAAACGTGACTGTAACAACATGCCCTAATTTTATCTTGTACAAAAAAAAACAAAAAAAAAAAATGTGAAAAGCTTGCATGAACTAGAAAATACATTGTAGCTCTACGTGTGAGTGAAGTTTGCAGTGTAAGTGTCTCCCAGCTCTCCTCTCACCACCTGATCTGACCCGGTGAGAAGAATAATTACATCATCTCCTCAATTTACTGTTATCACTGCAGGAAAAAAAAAAAAAAAAGAAAAGAGATGAAGAGTCCCTCCGGCTCTCAGTCTCTGGAGTCCTAACATAATGAGGCTAACCTCATTGTGCACGGCAAAATGTGCGCAAAGCAAATATCATTATCTTGGAATCAAGTTTGGCACTTCATTAAAAGTTGAAACGTGTGTGTGGGTTTTTGTTGTCTTTTTTTCTTTTACATCGTGTGTAACCTCTGCTTACGGTATCAGATGATAATTCATTATTAGTCCAGTGGAGATGCACCAAGCCATGGGAGAAACTTAAAGATAATTTTAATCATGTTTGGATCAATAGAAAAATAATTTTAAACGTCGAAGGTGTGATGCTGAAGTTTTTACCCTCATGGCAAAAACATTCTGAGTTTAATTCCTCTCTTTTAACACCAATTTAACATGAAGGGAGTACTTGCTGTTGATAAATTTGAAAATGAAAATGAACAAAAGACGTTTATTTACCAAAATATCTTAATCTATAACAGTCACATTCTATCAACTGATTGCTAATCTGAAATATTTTAAACCTGTCTGTGATTGGCTGCTGTGAGAACATGAAATGTGCAACCATTTTCAGTTTACTGTAATACACTACATGCAGTGATTTAAAGAAAAAAAAAATCCATCTACATTTCTGTCAGAAACATCACAAAACGAATCATTTTTTGTGTCTTTCTTTGACAGAATGTTTATAGGCTGAGGGACTTCCTTGAGCCAAAGCTCTGCTGTGTAGCGTGTGTCGAAACTAAAAATGAGCCTTTTGAAGTGCCAGAATCAAACTGTAATTCTTTAGAGAAAACTATGCTGAGTAAACAGCACACAGTTTGTTTGAAGATGGAATGAATCTGTCAGCTAAACTAAGGTTCCTCAGAAAATTCAGGGAAAAACTGAGTGAAAGTTTACAGTTGTTTTAGCAGCATGGGGCAGCATAGAGAAAAGGACTACAGATATTTTAGTTTCTTCTTTTTTAATTTATTTCTTGTGTGCGTGTTTGTAAAGTTAAGTGCATTTCTCTAAAGTGCCATTTTAGAGCACAATCAAGTAACTATGTTACCTTCAGTTGTTGGAGAAATGCTATATGTCAAATATGACTTAAAAGAAATTTGACTTCGTAATATAGCTCCTTGAAATTGGGCCTCTGTCTCTTTAAGAAACTCCTGCGCCTTCTGAAACTCCACCTTCAGGAAGTCATCACAACATGCCTCCTCCATCAACCTTTTAACAACGTTTTTATCAGAAGTAGCTCATATAATGAGCTCAGTTCCACCAGGTGTTTGCTAATTGCTTCTGGCTAGTCTGAAGGAGCTGAATTGGGAATTTGGGGGTGAAGGGATTGCTCCGTGAGGCAGAATCTCGGGAGCTTAGAAACTGTAGTTTGGAGATAGGTCCACCCAGGCGTTGACCCAGACATGGGAATTAAAGGGTTTCTCAAACATGCATGAAAGAATCAAAGCAACACTCCAGGTATGTTTTTGATGAGGAAATAACATCATAACATGATGTAAAAGCTCACAAAAGTCACATTTTGCGCAATATTTAGTTACTAATAGGATTTTTAAAAGAAAAATGGATATCTACTTTGCTAGTTTGTATGAAGTCTTTCGTGAAAGAGCTGAAATGAAACGGCGTGTTGGTGATCCCAAGTCATAACTGTATCTCGGGTGTTATTTATTATCCGTTCACTTAAATAAGAAGCAGGTGCTTATTTGTGTTTATGACTTTTAAATGTGATTAAAAAAAATAAAGAATGAACTCTAATTGTAGAGTTTTTCCATCCTCCAGTCAGAAATGAAAACAATCATTTTAATGTTCCCCAGCAGCATCAGGAGCAAATCAAAGTTCGAAGCCGGGATATTTAACAGGTGTTGTTTGTTTTTCCATCCGGTCCATTAAGTGTAAAGCCAGGGCGACTGTAATGGCGGCGTGTGACTGCCTGGGGAGACCGAACTCTCAGCCAAGCGCTTGATTAGCCTGCTTTAGCGGCATGGAGGAATGGGTTTGACAGGAGTTAGCACTGCCAGGCCTAGTGAGAAAGTAATGATCTGATGAGAAGCTTTGGGGTAGGTCATCACCATGGCAACCCTGTCATAAGTGAGACGGAGACTTGAAAAGGGGACGCAATTATGGGATGTCCTACCCCTAAACTGAACCGATGCAGAGTTAATTTCAGTAATGTCGTCCGAAGAAAGTAAATTAGTTTTGTCTTGTTGGCCGTTTCATGTTTTTTTAGTTTTTTTTTCTTAATCGTTGAAGGACAAGAAAAAAATGCAACTTTAAATCTTTGCCCAAGTGTCAATCATTTCCTCAGGTACAAAACGATGAAAGGCCCGTCATCCGGTGAAGTTAATCATCTTCATACACAGAGACACATCTCCAGTAGTTGGTGTAATAATGAGACGGGCTGCTGCTGCGTGCGGGCTTAGTCACACACAGCAGCGGCGGAAAAGTAAAGTAGAGAAGGTGGGTGGGTGGGTTACCTCATTTATTTCTGGTGGCTTCTCGCCACTGCCAGAGCCTGTGGTCTGCAACGAAGGCAAAAACACACGCGGCAGAAGTCGCAGGTGGCCCACAGGAAATCATTTCTGGACAGACCCGCGGATGGAAAGCCGACGCTTTCTTAACGCATGCATGAATGTGAGCGCATATGTAAATTGCCATAGAAACGAGAGCTTCGCTGTGCAAATCCATGAAATGAAAGTGGCTAGTAGTTGCCTAAGAATAGTAAGATTTTTATTTATTTTTTTTAAGCTATGAGAAGGTTAGAAAACCCAATATAGGGTCAGCTGTTCTCCCTGCCTCTCTAACAATGACCGCTGGAGACGGGCAAACAATCCTGGACAAGAGGGTACAGCCGCTGGATGGGTGGAAGAAATATGGGGGTTTTTCCCAAGTTTTATGAGAATATTTGATAAGATTTGCGGTGGACTTAAGTTATGTTACATCTATGTCACATGGATCTTACAAAGGGTCCATAAAAATGCCATCAATAAAAATAATCCAGTCCACAACCCTCCAACAAAAAGTAGGTGATGTGAACCTGATGGAGGCCTTGTGACAGAGGTGGAGCTTTTATTTATTTATTTATTTATTTATTTGTCTTCAGTGTAGGTTATATACTGATTAATACTGTAATTTTAACAGCTTCCAGCTCGAGTTGCATTTAAATAAGCAAAAATTGCCAGAATATTGTTTGTATAAGAAGGGAGGAATGAAAGGATGAAAGTTTTCGTTCCGCAGTTGCAAATGGACAGAAAACAAACTTTTATGTAAGTCGAGTCAAATCGAGGTAGACGTGAGGATGGGACTAAATCTAGCAATTATTTCTAATATTTTTGATTGCTATTAAAAAAAAAACATGTGTTAGCACTTTCTAAATTTGGTGGACTGTAGACAGTAATTATATTTCTGTGGGTCAACAAAAAGAGAGAAATCAGAAACATAGGTTTGGACCTCTACTTTTGAAAATAGGGGAGCAGCTTGACACATTTACCATTTTAACGTTCAATAAAGCAGACTCAGTACAATGCCAGGATCTCAAACCAGACAGGAATTATACAAAAAGTCGAAGCAACTGGGAATGACAGCAACTTGGACATAAATAGGTAGGCCACATAAAAACAAATGGCAGCTTCAGACCTCCAAACTACATGAGTCCTTCAGAATCGGCTCAAAAACTTTCCTGGAATGGGTTTTCATCCAAGCCCTGTTTCAGCGAGTCTAATGTAAAGCAGTGAATGCAGCGCTGTAAAGCACACTGCACTTGGACTCTGTAGACGTGTTTTCTCTGAACTGAAGCCTCTTTCGATGGGGGAGTTTGAGTTTTGTAGTTGCCAGGACAACAGCGCTTCCCTGGATGCATTGTGTCAAGTGTAAAAGCCGTTGCAGATGGGATTATGGCATTTGGCTGGTTTTGAGGAGGCAGCCTCTTAGTTTCAGTGAACAAAAAAAAAGATATGAATCAGAATCACTTTGTTTCATTCTCAGGATATGGAATCAACTATAAAACTTAACAGGCACATTTAAGCTCTTACTGTGATTTGCAGATTAGAGGGAAAGAAATCAGAAAAAATCGGTGAGGTTAGTGATTCCTTGGGTTGAGCAGTTGGCCAGACGGGTCTGTGTGAGGCTGATCTGTCACCAGTGTGAAATCAGTCAATTTGACTGCAAGCAAAAGTGCAAAGTACAACATGCAAGGATTGGCACACCGAGAAAATACATAAAATGGTCAACCGTGGAACAGACGGCGCTGAGTTTGAGGTGTGCATGTTTCTGTATAGTGGCATCTTTCTGCCTGTCCCCATCATTTTGTTCAATTTTACCATTACACGTATAATGAACTCCCTCTGTCTCCCCATCCTTTCATCCACTCATCTCCATCTCAGAGAAAATTCTTCTCTATGTTCCAGTCTCAAACTGCAGGGCTGCGTGAGGCGACCATGAAGGACATGCAGTTTAGAAAACATAAACAATACCCAAGGCTGAGTGTCCCCTTCATGGTATATAACAGCATTTTTTCCCCACCCATATCTCTCTGTTTCTACGAATCTGGGGACTGTCTAATCTGAATGTCCAAATTGGACCTAACAGAACCTTAAACTGAAGGTGATTTCAAATCTTTTAAAAAACATTAATAGCCTAAATAATTATACGACACTCAGCGCACAAAACACAAAGTCCAGTCTCCACATGAAGCCTGGAGCAACAAAACTTACAGTTTAAATTACACTTTTTTTTTTTTAAATAAGTCGCTGTCTAAATGTAGAAAAATAACACTGAGAATTGTATTAGCATGATTTGTTATTGCTCTTTGAATCTCACACTTGGTTATTTTTAATGATGAGTCAATTATGTTTTTTTTTTCCTTTGGACCGAGACAGAGCCCCAGTCTGATACTTCATTAAAATCAGTACAATGGTGGCTATTTGCAGCAAAATAGTGCAATCTACTCAGTCAGTGTTGCATGAGCTACATTAGCGTTGTGACAGAGGGGCACTTAACTCGCTCTGCCAGGACGTTCCAGTCTCTCCAGCCCCCTTTTCCTGACTTCAACATTTATTATTTCTTTAGTTTTTGGAAGCTTAACCTCAATATACTGATCCAGCTTGACTAGAAAGCTGCTCTAATGGATTTAAAACACCTTTAATGCTTAGGGTCACATTAAGATCATGACTCGTCAGCTTGTTAATCTATGATTTGAGTCAAAATAATATTTAACCACACAACTGCTGGCTGGAAGATCTAAATAGTTTGGTGAACAGGGTTTTCAGTGGGTTTGGTTTCCACACCAACTATAAAAATGTAACAAATGTTGCAGTTTTTTTGTCTACCAGACTATCAGGTGTGAAAACCTTCTATCTTTTGGTTGACCTGATTTAACCCAATGCATGATTTTGGCTTTTTAATTGGTCCGCAAATGATATTTGTCCACGTTTCTAACATGACGTCCTTTCAACACTTCCAGGACTTCGGGTATCGGTCTCCCCCGACCTTACTACATGGCCGATGAAGATGACGAGCGGCCCTTCATCTGCTCCTTACCCGTCGACAACGGCATCATGTCCTGCTCAGATGTCCCAGCCCGCCGTGAAGGAGGCCGGGCCTGCTGTTTGGACAAAGAGGACGTTGTCTACCGTCAGTCCATTGGACTGAGTCCTGAACCTTTGACCAACGGCAGCGTCAGTGTAGCTGGCCTGTGCGTCAACTGGAACCAGTACTACACCAGATGTCACACTGGAAGCAGCAACCCACACAAAGGTGCCATCAATTTTGATAACATTGCCTATGCCTGGATCGTCATCTTTCAGGTGGGTGAAAAGTTCCGTCAGAGTTTTAATTGTTTAGTTTTGTTTTCTATGGCTTTGGTTTGAAATCATGTTCAGCCTAATGGATTATGTCCTGTCCTTCCCAAAGTTCATGACACGGCATTATTCTGGTTTGAATATTTAAGTGGGCTCAAGGATTTGATGAGCCAATTCAAGCACTTCAAGTGGCTTCATGGATTAAGAGCTTTGCACAAAACTGCCTGTGAATCACCGGCAGCAGAAAACAAGAGTGGGTCAGGATAAAAACTGTGCCAGCAGCATTTACCTTAAGCGTCCACAGAAAAACAGCTTCATGTAATGAATGCAGACCAGACTGTTAGAAAACATAGTCTATGCCAATTAAGTTGTGCAGCCTGAAAAGTTTTCAATTGGCATTCACCATTGTTGTTTGCAGTGTTCAACATGCTGCTGTCTTTTTGCTTCTTTTTCTACCAATCATAAATAAAAAGTTCCCTCTGTTTTAATGATCTACGAAGCCTCAAATACAGCTAGTTTTAGTTTCTGCACAGTTTTTGTCTGTTCAAATTCCTAAATGTCTGCTTTTTATTTGGGACTAATTGCCTAAAATGAATCAACAATGATTTCCTTTTGATTTTGCTCCATTCAACATCAAATCTTTTTTTAATGCAATAACTTTAATTAAAAATCAAATCATTTTGTTTCTCTGTCATCTTAATTTGTCAATAATCTCCCCGGGCGATAGACGTTTTCCTCTCGGCACATTTTGCTGTCATTTTTTTTTTATAATTTTTTTTTTTTGGCACACACAGATCCGAAAGCCTGCGTATCCATCTGTTACTTAATATTACTGAGAACACATGAGCAAATTGTGGATTATTTGTTCTAATTCCATTTAGCGCAACCATATGCAAAACAATAAAAGTTAGCAAAATTACACTGGAAAGTTAACTTTCTGGTTTATCTTGTCCTAAAAACTGTATGGATGTTTTTGGGGACAGCATATTGTTTTTAATAGACGACAACTAACTGGCCAACGGTTCAGTGTCTGGACCTTCACTGAATCCAGACACATGCAGACTGTATGTATCTAGAAAATATTAACCCGAAGAATGAAATTCAAAGAAGTGTCTTAATTTACATAAAAATAAATGTTGTTTTTGCTGTCAATAAGCTGATAAGTTTAATAATTATTTAAATATTGTACACACAATACAGATCGATTTAGGCATACAGTACACAAATGAGCAAAATTCTGTGTAGCTAGACATAAACTCGACCACAGTTGAGTTTATGCCTATGCTTCTAATGAGACATTGGTTAAAGGGACACACATGCCATTTTGACTGTAATATGATGTTTCAGCTGGATTTGCTACAATTGCTGTCTACACAGATAGATTGTATCCATAGTTTAATATACACAACATAATTTGGAACAGGTTTTGTTACTGATTGTTTACCTGATTTCAAACTTATGCTAGCAAAACTAGCTGACTGTTAGCTTTAGCTTGCCTTGAAAAATAAACAAGCATGTCGCCAGAAAGCTCAAATCCTTGATTGACCCTTTTACTGACTGAAAACTTTGTGGTCCTGAATTTATTGTGTCTTCTTTACTTTAGGTGATCACTCTGGAGGGCTGGGTGGAGATCATGTACTATGTGATGGATGCTCACTCTTTCTACAACTTTATCTACTTCATCCTCTTAATAATAGTAAGTCTTGTCTCTACTTTTATTTAAATCAAAAATGTTGGACACATTGCACTGATTGAATAAATGCTTAATATAAATGTGGTGAATCTGAATAGGTTAAAAAAACACACATGTACAGTTTAGTTGAGTTTTAATGAGACATTTGGTTACATTACTAATCTGGACAAACATGATATGAGTTATGAATTGTAAGTTTATGATCATATAAGGTTGACTGAATTCAATTTGTCAGTAGACGTGTATCGTTTCTGTCCTCTGTGTCTTACCTGTTCGCATAGTTACACGTGCACTCTCACAAATCCTTACACACACACACACACACGCACACACACATGCTGAGAGCTGCTGCACAAATCCCTAAAGAATCCTCCCTTTTGTTCCTGTGAAACACTTTTTAATTCCAGTCCTTTAGCTTCTCTATGTGTGCCACAGCACGCTTTTGTGTGTGAGCGTCGATGCGTGGCTTCCTCGGTATATTTCTATTTTAGCTTGTCGGGGAGTACTTAGAAGTGTGTGTGGAAGTGTTATCATAATGCAGCGTGACTGCTAGCTCCAGCTACTCTGCTACCCAGGGGCTGTCTTGTCTTTTTTATTAGACTTTTAATTGCCTCGCCTTCTGAGGCAGACACAAGCTTTTTCGCTCTCTTCCCTTTCCCCGCCGATACTCTCTTCATTCGTTAATGTGTCACTTCTGCTAGTATCACTCTATCTCCTTGAATGTGTCAATCTCTGCTCCCAGCACTTTCACACCCGCAGCACATTCCCCTCCATCTCTGCTTTCTCACTCTCTCTCTCTCCCCAGGTCCATCTTTGCCATACTCCATTCCCCTTCCACTATTTTTTGTCTTCTGACAGCCTTCTATCTCTTTTCTGCTGCCTTCTTTTCATCTCTGTGTTCTCAGTTGGCTGTATAAGCAGGCATCATTCATGTAACTGGATGCGTTTCCATTACAAATGTGCGCAAAAACGTTGTCGATATTTTGCTAATGTGGACAAAAACACAATTTTGGTGTTTCGTTTAAATAAGAAGCTCAATTAAAATCACGCATGAGCGCATTTGTTCACGCGACAAGTCAGAAACATCCAACTATTTCCTGTCGACTTCTTCATTGGTTAGCGCCGGTTGTTGTCAGTGTGACTCGTGTGATTTGAAAAACGCGTCTCCATTGCAGTTTTGCGAAATAAACCAGTTTCGATACAGTCAAAGAAAAAAACCACCTCATCCTAGCGCCATAACATTTAATCAAAAAGAACTGGGATATCTCCATTAAGCAAATTTATTTTCAAAAGTCTATATTGTGCAATTATATGGTCATTGGAACTGCTGCTACAGTCTGTCTACAATCTATTCTCAGACACCTACTGTCACAAACAGTAACACACTCAAAGTTATTTTCTCACACACACACACATGCACACTCAGAGGCACGAAGACAAATTCTCACGGTCTGCCTCTGATTTGCTGTTGGACACTGTCCAACACATCAAACCGCCGACGTTGGCTTCCTTCTGCCGATTTGTGAAATAATGGCCCCCTTTTGATGTGGATGCGTCGTTTACCAAAGGATGAAGAGAGGAGGAAGGATGGAAGAGTAATAACCAAAGGCAGGAGTGAGGATTTGTGGAAATTAAAATAAAGATGATGAAATCTGTGTGAAAAAATATAGAGAGGGGGAAGAATGGCCAGATATGCAGCGAGGGATTTGCAAGGGAGAATCGTAAGATAACGAGTGGGCTTAAGAGAGCCGGTGATGAACGGGGATAAAACGGGAATGACTGACAGACGTGAAGAGGAAAAACCGGGAGGTGATGGTGACGGACCGGAGCGTCGGCATGAAATCCGGCAGAGGATTGGAGGGCGAGCGAGCGAGGCGATGCGAGCACCGTCTTTGATGTCAAGTGAAATGTCCTTAATTAGAGTGAGTTTCTCAGCGTGTCCTCTCATGGCTCATGTGCGCAGGACAGACACCCTGATCACAGGATCGGGGTAACAAGCGTGTCATACAATAAGGTACATGCCAAGCCCTTCAAATTAAGCCAGTGTAATGCTACATTAAGGCAGGTACATATACAGTATGTTCCTGCATGTACAGCATAAAACATCAAAAGCCTGGCATAATTCGAATCCCAGACTGAGCACTATTGCAACATTAAAAACATCTGATCAGCAAAGGCCCACTGGGTTGGAGCAGGATCCATTTTTACCTCGCCACCTCTCCACTGTTAAACAGCTCCAGTTCAACAGTGGAGCTGGCAGCAAACCAGCTCCACTGTTAAACTGGTGCCAGTGCTTACACTGCACCAATTCCCATTGGTTTCCCTACTTCTTCTGACTCCAGAATCATTAAAGTGGTTCTTATGTATCGCCAAACCTGAGCCGGACCAGAGGAAGGAGCTGCTATGGTATCTGCAGGCTAACTGAGACCAGCAACCAGTCACCATTAAAAACCTGGAGTTAGTTTTGTTTCCAATCTGCATAGTTTAACTCAAAAACGTAAATTCACCACATTTGAATGTTAATGAAGAAGCCACATTAGGCAGTCCCTCCACGAAGTTGTGACATTGAGTTCGGAACTGTTGACGCAAATTCAGTCATCATTCACAAAGTTTTGCGCAGACTTGCGATTTTCACCTGACATTGTGAGGTTTGTCAGATGTTATAAAAGCCCAACTTACTATTTTAGTGGCCAAAGGATTGACAACAGTTGTACCAACCATTGTGCAGAATTTGTCAACATGGACATCCTGAATTAAAAGATACAAAAAAATAACTCTAGCATACAATTGTGCTTCAGCAAAAATTATTATTATTATTATTATTATTTTTACTATGGGGCATTTTATACATCTTTACCACCCCTGGTTTTCCATAAATAGTCAAGTTGTTTTTTTATTGTAATTTGTAGATTAAAACCAAAAAATTAAGCAAGATATTTATTTCTCTTCCACTTTCTGCATTCCAATTTGACATTTCCTCCTCTGTTTGTCAAACCTTCATCAGCTCTGTTGCATCACATTTCAGCGACTCTCTCCCAAACACATATAGTGGAGTTAATTGATTTGAGCTCTTTACCAGTCTGACATTATCAGCTCTGTTTGTACTCCTGCTTGTCATCGTCAAACCGGCGGACAGACGGAGAGACTTTTATTAATGTTCAACAGACTTTCCAACACGGAGTACTAAGCCAGTGAGCAACAGCGGACTGAACGTATGGAGAGACAAGGAAGGAGGGAGAGAGGGAGAGAGGGGTTTAAACGGTTCAGCGGTTTCGCTCCGATGAGTATAAAATGAGGTAAATCAAACTGAGAGATGGGGTGGGATACGGAGAGGATGACAAGAGATATGGCTTGAGGGGAACTAGATGACAAGAGATAGCATCAGATGGAGAGACAGATGAAACGAGTCGGATCAAGCTGACAAATTCCTCAGAGTGATTATCATCGTCGAGAGTTTGAACAAGAAACCCAGCAGAGCCGGAGCATTATTTGGAAAACAGCTTGACTGTTTAATTAAGATTTAGCATCCTCAAACAACATCCTCAACATTATTTGGTTTCAAAGGCTGTCTGACGAAGCCTTCTGTTCTGACATGCGACTGTGACTCCAACAGTTGAACGTATTTCTACAATTTGACAGTGTTTATCAGTGGCAGAAATCTCTAAGCACATGTTTTCACACCAACATGAACGACTAATCGTGCTTGTAGGCTGAGTTTAACTGCAAATTTAGGATTTTATTGTATGGATCAGTTTGCACATCATGCATAAAGTGCCTCTCAAAAGTGTCTGCAACCACATTTAAATGTTTTGTTGATGTAGAAAAATTTTTAGCCATGATAAATCCTTTGCACTAATGTAATGTCTAAATCAGAAATAAAGATGCATGAAGCAAGAAAAGTTTCAAAAACCTGGTTTCATATGTCTGCATATTCCTCAACTAATATTATGTTGAACTGTTTTGACTCTTTTTCAGAACTTTGTTTTCTGGAGTTCATTATAGTGAATTTGTTGATTCATCTCTTCTCTGGAGTGTAAAGTCTTTAATCAGTATGAAAGCTTTGTTAACTTCTCTTTTGACATTTCTACGTACCTACTTTATCTTAGCAATGATGCTAGCTTTCGTAGCCTCTAAGCTATCGTGGTGGGCTAGCTTGTTAACACCCACAATGCCGACTTTGTTTTCACATGAGGAGAAAACGTTCTCTTCAGGGTTCCGCTGAGCATTTCTCCTCATTACTTGTCCCCTTATATTCAACTTGAACAACTTTCTAATATCTACATGCAGTTATTTGCCTCTCTGCCGTAGCGGAAGTCGGTTAGCTGTTGACTTGTGACACTCATGGTAGCAGCTTTTTGTAGCAGCTACGCTATGCTAGCTTTGATTTGTTTATTTTGAAAGAGCTGACTATAGTAAGACAAATCTATGTCTGTCCTGTCAGTGTACCAAGAGAGTGCGAGTATAAATATTTCAACGGGTAACTGAATGTGCTGAATGGGTTCTGGGATCCATTATTGCGCTTTCTGTCCACAAGTCTTGTAAAATCATCTGAAAAAGCAGAGAGTCTGATGAAAACTCAATACTTTGAATCGATGAAGAGGAGCTTTACCCATGGAGCACTTTCCCGCAGCGCCCTTATAGACACGCTCATACGTCCACTCTCACCTGCTCATATTAACGCAGCAAAGGGAGAGAACATAATCGGCTGATCAGGGTTATTGATCACTACCTTCAGAGATGTATCATTTCCCTGGCTTCTTGCACTGGTTTTCAAAATGACCCCTGCAGGTTGGGATGACCTTGCTGTTGTTTTTTTTTTTTTTTTTACCCCACTCTATTTCTACGCCAAAACTGGATGTTCAATGTACACAACTCTAAAAATGTTAGTCTTTTTTTTTCAGATGCTCTGCCATTAGATCATCCCGTTAACTTTCTCCCACGGTCTCCATGTCCATTTGCAAATGAGATAAGTAAATTAAATAAATTCCAGTAGTCTTTTTTAAAAAATATATTTATAAATTGGAGCCTTGGTGTGTGATAGCCAGTTTTGATGAGGTTGTAAAGCCCACGAATATTTTTTGCGCTTTTCCTTAAGCTTGATCCGGTTGCTAAAGAAACCGAGGTTATTGGTTCTTGACCCAGCCAATCAGATTTGATTTCTGACCTTGGTGCCTTTGGAAGCTGTCACTTGCTCTTCACTCAATCAATCAATCAAATTTTTATTTGTGTAGCACATTCCAGCAACAAGACATTTCAAAGTGCTTTACATCATAAAAACAAAAAACCAAAGTAATGGAAAATAAAATCAACAATCGACACATTACATTTAGACAATGCAATTGTTAAATTCTTCATCGGTTATGATTCAAAGGCGACTCCAAACAGGTGGGTTTTTAGTCTAGATTTGAAGGCACTAAGTGTTTCAGCAGGTTTTTTTGCAGTTTTCTGGAAGTTTGTTCCAGATTTGTGGTGCATAGAAGCTGAATGCTCCTTTCCTCGTCTGGTCTTAGGCCTCTCTGTGGAAACTTATTTGTTCAACCAAACTTTCTGCACACCTATTGCCCTCTCAGGTCGGTTCCTTCTTCATGATCAACCTGTGCCTTGTGGTCATCGCAACCCAGTTTTCAGAGACCAAGCAGCGGGAGCACCAGCTAATGCAGGAGCAGCGCGCTCGCTGCTCGTCCTCTTCGACGTTGGCCAGCGAGCCGGGAGATTGCTACGAAGAACTCTTCCAGCTGGTCTGCCACTGCCTCCGCAAGGCCAGGAGGCAAACAGTTGCTTTTTTTAACAGTTTGCGAGGTAAACCCCGTGGGTTTCGGGGCGTTGGGCGAGGAAGACGAGGAGGGGATGAGAGGGAGAAGAAGGCCAATGGAAGGCGAGAACTTGAGACGAGGCTTGTGTCCAGGCCTGGTAGGTGGCTGAGAACATGATAAAGACAGCAGTAGATATAAGGCACACGATATACACTGACCTCCAAACGTTTTCTGTTCCCAGGTCATCCGTGCCCTCATCATCATAAACCAGTTCACGCCTCGTCAGCTGAGCCTGTAGCCCTGACTGCTGCCTCGAAGGTAGACGGTTGTCCTCAGTGTGCTGCAGCACTGGAGCTTAAAGACGGAGTGGGAGCCGTCTGTGTCGCTGGCGATGAAACAGAGGAGGAAGCAGTGGACAAAACCAACAGTGAGGATAAGCAAAAACAAGGAACCAAAGATGAGGACAAAAAAACCCCGAAAAGTGCCGAGAACCATATAGGATGTAGCCCAAAGAAAGGATGCAAAGAACTTTGGCAGGACACGAGGAAGAAGCTGTGGGGCATCGTAGAGAGCAAGTACTTTAACCGAGGCATCATGATCGCCATCCTTATCAACACCATCAGCATGGGGATTGAGCACCACGAGCAGGTAATACAAGCATTAATTGATAACACACCTAAGGTGGCATATATGACAATCTGTTTTTTTCTTGGAGCTTTAGTATAGTTATTAATGAGACAAGGAGTTGACATTTTAAGGTCATGTTCAGGTGTGTCTGTAAAAGTTCTTTGTCACTTAGACTGTGCATCCTTACAGATTCAGCATCTCGGGAGACCAGAAATAATCATTTTTGAAACGAAGTTCCAGAGTGGATACAAAGTGGTGGTTTAATGTTACCATGTGGCAAGATGCTCTGTCTCTTCTGCATGTGGCTCACTCTGACATACAACAAACATGGTGCCACTCTGTGTTATTTGTATTGTTGCCTTGCAGTGCTACAGCACCGCCCATTGGCCTGGAATAGCTACTACATAATTTTCTGTGATGCTGAACATTTATTCTTGATCACAAAAATGTACCAGACTTGTCTCATTGAATACAGGGCCTCTCCAAAGCTGATAAATGAACTTAGTGCAAGGAACTGTGATGTACTACTTACATTTTTAGTATTTAGTTTTTGGATTGACTTCCAAATTGAGCTATCTTGAGAAAATGTTGCAAGGTTCCCAAAGCCAAAAATGATCTTCCGTTGGCAGACTAAACACAACAACAGGATTTCAGATGTTTTATTTACTTACATTGCAATGGCAGAATGTAAAATTTTGGTTTAATTTGGAGAAAAAAAATCTTGGTCCTACTTTGTGAGCCTTAAGATTATAATCAGAAAAAAATTCAGATTTTATTCAAATTGATTTTAAAAACAACTTAGAATCTCAAGGAATATAAAACATTAAAATACATCAAAATGGATATATATATATATATATATATATATATATATATAATTGTATTTGAAATGTTTGAAGTCTTTTTTCCATATTCATCAAAAAGTAATAACCAGGCTAAAGTTACATGAGCTGTGTTATATTATCAGAACAAATCAAAGTGATAATATGACTAAATGTTATGATGATGAAATCAGGTTATATTAACCTTCATTTTCCTCACTCCTATAATTTATAACTAAAATTATAGTAAACTTTACATTGAACCTCATATTGAGGTTAAGTTGAAACAAGTTATCTTACTTCTGACTCACTTCCACACTAGCTGTGTTATTACAAGAGCACTTCCTGCTGAACATGTTCAAATAAACTATTTCCTGTTGCAAAGTTGTTGTTGTTTTTTTACCTGCACACTTTTGCTATTTAGAATAGAAAACAAATGTTTTAAGTGTCGATTTGGAAAAATTTTTCCAGTGCCAATTAAAATTTCTCCAACTCAGAGTAAAGAGGAGAAAACCTTCCAACCCCTACTGTAATATAGAGTTAAGAAGTGAATATGGGAATAAAGTGGTGTGTTGTTACTTTGTCAGAATGGAGTAATGTTTGTAGAAGTTTTGAGAAGGAAGTAAATTTGTAGGGATCCAAGCGAAATGTGGAATGTGACTTACTGATTATTTCCAAAACCTAAAGAACATGATTTCACCAAGATGAATAAAACAAATATGTTTATATTCACCAAGCCCCACAGTAATAAAAGCAATGCAGTGGCATGTTTTCCAGCTTTTTCTTCCCCCTCTGGTTTCTATGTTTTACTGTCGTTCAGCTTTTTTGAACTCTTTGTATGTCTATCAATATTTCTCTCTCTCTCTCTCTCTCTCTCCCTTTCTCTCTCTCTCTTTATACCATCGCCCACTCATGCCTGCCACCGCCGCAGTGGTAGGTCGTCTCTCATCCTAGCTGCTGCTAAAAATAGCGAGACAGAAGGGAAGTGACAGAGAGACTTTGCTGTGTTAATGGGGAGGAAATACAAAGCTGGGTTTGCCTGTCTAGCTGAAACTGGAGTCTTCCTTCGCGACATGGTTAAACACCAGAATCACACTCTGTGTCTGTTGTTGTGACTGTGACCTCGTTCTCACCTGTTCTGGAAAAAAAAAAAAAAAAAAAAAAAAAAAAAAAATGGGGTTCCCCAAGGGGGGGAAAAAGGGTTGCATAATTTCCAGCACTTAAAGCATTAGACGAGGTTTTTCTGGTTGCACTTTATTATTTATGAGACAATGCAGTGGAAGTGCTTAGAGCAGTTGCCCAACAGCAACAAGTTGCCGAGTTTAAATGCAGGTTTTAACAGCTTTTGATTCAGAGCTGGGTTTCTTTTTTGTGTATTCTTGGATTTCTCCAAGTACGCTGGTTTGTCCCTCAGTTTGAATACATGCCAGATTCGTTAACTTGAGATAATATGTTGTTATTGGGTGTAAGAGAATGACTGTATGCTGTTTATCACTTCGGATGGTTTTGTTCCCCAATAGTTTTTGCGGAGCTTGATTGGCGAGGAATAGTCTGGAAGCTTTTCCGTTTTTTTTTTTTTTTTTTTTTTTTTTTTTCCAAGGATATGCACAGTTCAGTATAACTACTGAGAAACAATCACTGCTAAATCTTGCTAAAACTTGTTAAAAAAAAAAAAAAAAAAAAGCTGAGGAGTTACACTTATGTTGCTTTAGGAATTATCTTCTTCTTTATGTTCTTCTTCCGCTGCCAGTTGTTGAATCCAAGCTGATTTCATGCAGTGCTGTCATCTCCACTGCTATGCAAAGACACTAAGATGGTTGATGATGAATGGAAGGTAGTGCAGGAAGGTATTGCAAAAAAAAGAGTGAAAAACCTGAAGGAAAACGCTGCCAAATCTGCAAGAATTACATTTATCTGACGTCTGCAGCAACAGACGTTCCACAGCGAGCTGAAGTAGAGCAGGAAGAGAGACAGAGTGAAGACAGCAGCAGTAGAAGTATCAGAAGCAAAAGCAGTAATTTATTAATCTTCCAATCTCTCAATAACACATACTTATCAAGTGATATTATCAAATGTAAACATTAAACTTTAAACATTGTTTAACTCAAACACGACGGGCCGCTGGATGAACAACTGTACTTTACTATTAGCATTAATAAAGCATAAAGAAACATAAACATGATTACAGTTGAACCTGTTCAGCCAACCTGAAACATATTTTGTAAGTTGCATCAAGAAATATAACAAACACACTAAATACCATTTGTTGAATCTAAGGGTGTTTTCACACCTGATGGTCCGGTAGACTTGGTTCGATTGGGATCCAGAATCACAACATTTGTTAAATATTTTGTCAAACAAACCAAACCCTTAGAAAAACCTGTTCCCCCCCTCGCCTGTGGCGGCGCTGTGCTGAGTACCAGATTTCAAGGGTTGTAGGATTTCTCTGTTGTCTTTGGTAAAAGACCAGGAGCCATTTCTCCTGCTAGCGCTAATCCCACCCAGAATGCTTTGCAGTGTAGTCCACTTCCTGCTGTGGGAGCGGTCTTCAGACCAAACTGAATTAAATTCAGTTACACGTCCTCAGTTTGAAGTTTTGCTACAGCATTAATGACTCAAAATAATCGATTGCCCACTGCCTCTCTGCGCTCATCCAGGAGGAGTGATTGCTGAGTGTGAGTGACGTGAAGCAATCTGCTGGGTTTCCTTGGATGGAAAACTTTTTTTTTTTTTTTTTAACTACCACTTTAAGTGAGAAACTGAACGTGACCTGGCTGTATAAACGAACTGAATGTCCCTTTTTTTTTTTTTTTTTGCCCCAAGATGACATAAGTTGTGAATCGGCACTATATAAATACATTAAATTGGATTTAATTGAGGGCTGCACGGTGGGGCAGTTGTTAGAGCTGTTGCCTTATAGCAAGAAGGTCATGGGTTCGATTCCCAGCCTCAGGTCTTTCTGCATGGAGTTTGCATGTTCTACCCTACCCTGCCCCCTAACCCTGTGCATGGTGGGTTCTCTCATCCTCACACAGTCAAAATCATGACTGTCAGATTAACTGGTCTCTCTGAATTCTCCTTAGGTGTGTGTGTGTGTGTGTGTGTGTGTGCATAGTTGTCTGTCTCTGTGTTGCCCTGTGATGGACTGGCAACCTGTCCAGGGTGACCCCGCCTCTCGCCTGAAATGTCTTGCTGGAGATAGGCAGCAGCACCCCTCTTGACCCCAATGGGGACAAGGGTGTAAAGAAAATGGATGAATTTTATTGATATTTTGGGATCATCTGCCAAGACTGACCAATCACGGTGGACTTCAAATGCTTGGGTCAAGTTTTTGCCCCACACCCAGGAGTAGCACCAGATGTGGATTCATAGATGGTTTTCTGCAAACTTTGGCAGCAACTTTGACCTACTTTTGCCTTTCTATAATTTCAAGCCACTTTTCATATATTCCTCTGACCTCTGTCATCAATATAGTTTTTTCATCCACAGAACTGCTGCTCTTTTTTTTTTCAGCGCACAGAAGTGGCACCTGGAGTCGGTTCCTACTGCTCTGCAAACCAAGACATGGTTTTGCTTAAAATTTGCAGGAAATCACCAGTTACTGAGAAACTCAGACCAGCCAGCAAACACACACACACACACGCACACGCGCATACACACATGCACTGTATAACACTACAAACAGATATGCACATGGATGTATCTAAAAGAACAGAATAAAATGTCCTTTATTGTTTCATAGTTGGGAATTGTCTGTGCAACAGCAGCAAAGTGACAGGTAATAACAGCAAATACACTCACACAAGCATAGAATATATAAAAACAGAATAAAGAATGAAATACTGTACAGTCAGGACAAAATATGGTAAGTTTGACACAATAAAGAGCTTAAAACTTCATGCCAGCCGTAACCAAACTGCTGCAGATATAAAAGAATGAATTATGAAAAATAGTCTAACACACATTTAGTCTAACATTCCTGTAGCTGCAAGAGCTTCATTTAACATATTTGATTAGTTTCATTTGTTGCAATTTGCTGCATTATCTTTAGTTTTAATCCTCATCTCTCTGTTTTTTTCTTTCTAATTTCTGATTCCGCGTCCTCTGGCGGTCAGCCGGACCAGCTCACCAACGTGCTGGAGATCTGCAACATCGTTTTCACCAGCATGTTCTCCATGGAGATGATCCTGAAGCTCACCGCTTTCGGCTCCTTCAACTACTTGAGGAACCCCTACAACGTGTTTGATGGCATCATCGTCATCATAAGGTACAAACAAAAGGACCTCAGTCCTCACACTTGCGCTCATCAACGACAGGCTGAGGTTCTTAAAGGGCAGACGTGTCATAATGAGGTAAATTGGTGCATTATGCTCATGATGTTAGTTTAATTCAAATTTAATGTGTTACAAGCAGGAACAAGTGCAGTTAAGTCGTGTTTCTTACTGTCGTTCTGTTTCCAACTTTCTGTCTTTGAATTTTCCTTTATCTTGATTTTTTTTCTCTCTTCTGTCTCTTTCATATTTTCTTTCCTTCTTTTTTCTTAATCTTTCTTACTTTCTTTTTTGTTTCTTCTTTCTGGTTTTCTCTTTCTCTTTGTCTTTTGCTCTTTCTTTTTGTCGTGTCAGTCTGTCTTTTTTCTCTGTTCATTTTTCTTTCTTCTTTCAAGTTCATTCTTAATTTTTTTCTTTCTTTTTCTGTCTTTCATTTTCTTATCTTTCTTTTTTCTTTCTTTCTGTTTCTTTCCATATTTTTGTGCTTCATTCTTTTTTCCTTTCTGTCTTCATTACTTTTTCTTCTTTCTTTCTTTCCTTTTTTCTTTATCTTTCTGACTTTTGTTTCTTCTTTTTGGTTTTCTTTTTCTGTTTTTGTCTTTTGTTCTTTCTCTTTTTTTCTTTCTGTCATTATGTTGGTCTGTCCTTTTCTTCTGTCTTTATCTTTCCTTCCATTTGTCTGTCTTTATTTTTTCTTTCTTCCGTCTTTTTTACTTCCATTCTTTCTTCGTCTTTCTTTTGTCTCTTTCTCTCTGTCCTTGTCTTTCTTTCTTTCTTTCTTTCTTTCTTTCTTTCTTTCTTTCTTTCTTTCTTTCTTTCTTTCTTTCTTTCTTTCTTTCTTTCTTTCTCTCTTTCTTTCTTTCTGCCTTTTTCTCATCCTTCTGTTTCCTTTGTTTTTTTCTGTCTGTAGTTCTGTCTGTTTCTTTTTCTCTCTTTCTCTCTTCCTTCCTTTTGTTACTCAGTAGAGGTGGTTCTATTAAATCATCCCAGTTTTGTCAAAGTGTCAAACACACGCTGCCCGGTACAAATGCACCACCTGTACGGATCGCGATGCCAACGTGTCAGGCAGCAACAGGAACATGTTTTGTCTTTTGTTGTGTGCCTGGAGCTTTCTGTGAATGGCTGTGGCTTTGATCTGCTTGTGCGGGGTTTTTTTTCCCCTCTAGTTCATATGGTTAGAAGTCTTTGTCTGTGATCCCCATTAGAAACCTCAGATCAAATACACATCAAAGCATGTAAAACTGAAAAAAGATCAAATGTGCAACCCATCACAGAAAGATGCAGGTTGATTGAACGTTTCTGCGTCTGTCTTCTAATCCCGTGCTTCTCGACCATTTTGTTTTCTTCCCGTCTTCATCTTCCTGAATGTCCGTGGCCATTGAGAGAAAAGCCACTCTATGGAAGTGCCTCCATTCAGTCCTGAGCGGTTCAAGGGAGAGAGTATTTTGATGTGCTTAGCAGACCCTTTGATAGCTGGTTGGTTCAGTCGGAGAGAAAAACTCTCTGTCAACATAAAATATGTCCAGAGACGCAAAAACACCATAAGTCCAAGTTATGTGACACATCCAGTGTTTGAAACGTATAAAAATATAATGAATGCGGGAGGGAAATAAATCCAATACTTCAGAAATGCACTTTGGAGAATATATGAGGTTTTTCTAATTAACCCCTTAGCTGCCATGGTGTCCCCAGTGTCCATATGGACACATTGTCCTACATGTAAGTGTTTTGAGGGTGACTGTCAAGGGATTTAAAACGGATTCTCTGTTTTAAATTGAAACATGAGCCTGCGTTTTGGTTCTCTGACATGTCGGTCATCTTCCTCCTTCCTGTGTCTCGTTGCAGCGTTTGTGAGATCGTCGGCCAGTCGGACGGCGGCCTGTCGGTGCTCCGGACGTTCCGGCTGCTGCGCGTGCTGAAGCTGGTCAGGTTCATGCCGGCTCTCAGGAGACAGCTGGTTGTCCTCATGAAGACCATGGACAACGTGGCCACCTTCTGCATGCTGCTCATGCTCTTTATCTTCATCTTCAGGTGAGGTGATGCTCTGCAACACAGAGCTGATTTGTTTTTAAGGTTTTGGCGTCACAAACTTGAAACACATCCTCATAAAAATATGTTGTGTTTTAGAAGACTTTGAATTAAATATGCAGTACTTATGGTTGTGTTGAAAATGCTAATATGCCTACCTGTGCATGCACTGTCAGTTATATTGCAACTGTTTTTTGCTCATATTTCTTGTTGTATTGACTTGATTAATCATCACAGGCATCAGAATATGGAGGACCAAAGCTGACATAATTAATAATAAAAGCAGAAATGCGTATATATTTTTTTGTTTTTTCCTTTTCCTTAAACATGTGTTTTGGTCAAGAAATGTATGTCCTTGGTTATAAATATTTAAAGGTAATAGAGTCTACATCTGTATATCTGTATGTTTTTCTTGGTTCTTGTCTGCTCTATTAGTGATTTAAAGTATATGTTATGTCTTTTTCAATTCTTTTTATCTTAAAATTTCCATTGAAGTTTATGGAATCCCAATACTGTTCAGCAGCAATTAACCTAAGGTTCAAAATACCAAATAAATACAATTGAAGGTCTTCATAGAACTTCATACACAGAGCCCTAAGGATTTGGAGGGATGTTGTAAAACTCCACTCGTATATATATTCATGAATATGTTGGAATTCATAAAATAATGTTTAAGTACTGCGGGGCAAAAGGTAATAATCATCGTCTAGCTCTGACCTTGAATCATTCAACTCAAGTCAATTTTCTTTTAAATCAGATCAGATGAACTTTGTTGTCCTCCAAAGGTCAATTTGCTTTAACTGATCGGTGAAAAATAAAATCTAAAGCCAACCCATAAATCTGTATCTATATTTAGGAGTCCACAAAGTGTAACATATTGTATATTAATTAAAAACTATTTCTGTGATGGTGGTGCTGTCTGGTTTTGATTACCACGTGAAGGCTTGCATCTTCACATACTTAGGATACAATAAAAAGCAGTGTTTAAATAAGTTTGCACATGAAGGGATCCACTTGATTCTTTTTAACCACTCAGTGAGTTTGTTTGAAAAGAAAAATAGAAGCTTTTTAGGATTAATATTATCCATGTTTTTGCATTTATCTTTCTAATCAGTGTAAACAAAGAAAAAAAAAACAATAATTTGTTTTAACAAAATGAGGAAATGACATGCTCTGCAGACTGTAACTTAAAGAAAATTGCGATTATATCCCTTAGCCAGTGTGTTCTCATTGTGGCTCTTTTTGTGTTGCAGTATCCTCGGGATGCACATCTTTGGCTGTAAATTCAGTCTGAAGACAGAAACGGGGGATACAGTCCCAGACAGGAAGAACTTTGACTCCCTGCTCTGGGCTATCGTCACCGTTTTCCAGGTAGTCGACCTGTCAGAGTTTATGATCTAAAGTATTAGAGCAAAGGGGCCAATGAGTTTTTTTGATAACAAATCTACACATTTTCATGGAAATACGTTTAGCTTTAATTATTGGTAGAACTATGAGTTTGTTGGGAGTGTGACAGCTGCTGGGAGGAAGGATCTGCTGTAACGCTGCTTTGTGCACCGAGGATGCAGCAGTCTGTCACTGAAGGAGCTCTGGAGTTCAACAGTTTCATGCGCAGCTGCTGGGAGTTATTGTGCTGATTAATATCCATCCTAGTGATGGTAAACAGTCACCAACTTGTGCTGAGGTGTGTGTGCAAAGCTTCAGTTAAGTTTCTTTTTGGTTTCCTTTGCGTTTCTCTAAGATTCTGACCCAGGAGGATTGGAACGCCGTGTTATACAACGGCATGGCAGCCACCTCGCCGCTTGCTGCTCTTTACTTCGTGGCGCTCATGACCTTTGGAAACTACGTCCTCTTCAACCTGCTGGTGGCCATTTTGGTTGAAGGGTTTCAGGCGGAGGTAAATTATGACCAGAAGCTGTTATAAAGGGAAAAAAACCCCACAAAATATTATTTTGGGGCTTTTATTTGAACTGTATTTTGTATTCTTAGGGTCACTGACTGGTGTGCCGCACAAATTAGGGGGAAATATTAATGCCTCCAACTTCACCTCAAATAAGCAGCTAGATGGACACATGAATATAAACGTAGACTAAATTTGATCTTGGGATGAATAATGCTGCCTAACAAAAAGCCTGGTGGTTTTCTGCAACTTCAAATCTGGTCAAAATAAACACTGAACCAAAATTCAACCAGAAATGGGTCAGAAGTTTCTTTATAACAGTAAAAAAAAGAAAAAAAAGAAAAAGTGTGGTTTTCTCTGCAACTTGACCAAATTCCACATTTTACCACTTAAAAACAAAAAGTATGTAAACATTGTATTTTTATTCCGCCCAAAGCAAAAGAGTCCAAATAAATAATTTTAAAAATTAAGACATTCTTGACGTTTACAAATTTATGTCTAGAACTGTATGACTTGCTTGTAGGTTAGGCTTTCTGGACTAAGCTTTTAATATTATTTGTTTAACATTTTCAAGACAACAAATAACAATAAAGAAATGAAAAATGATGAAAAAAGAAACCAGACACAACCGCACTAATAACATGCATAACAAATTTCAGGAGTTATTTATTCTTGCTTCTCTCAACGGTTTTGTGATGATCTCTGTTTTGCAATCGCGTAACACACTGCATGTCTTTTTTTTGCCCATCTCGCAATACATGTACAAAACAACATGAAATTTAAAATGTGACATCCCAAAGCAATTTACTAGAGCAAAAACTCCAAACTTGTATTGTCTGTCCATGTTTCAGCCCCTCCATCCTTGCATCCTCAGCAGGCTCTCGTCTCCAGTTGGAAGCTGACGTCCATCTGTCTGCGCAGGTCGAGGGCGTTTACACTGTGACCTTTGGCAGCGACATTCAGAGCTAAATTGAGCTCCGCGTTTGTGATTTACATGACGCCACGTTTGACGAGGCGGATCCAATTCAAATGCAATCGATGCAGCTGTCCAAACAGGCTGCATAACGTCTCACATCAACATCTAACGCGTTTACATTAACACGGCTGCATGTAAAATACAGCTCAGCACTTTTTAATCTGCAGGTTTGTCTGCTTTGGTGTAAAAATGAAAACTATCTGGACAATGTGTAAGATTGTTGCATCCAGCTTTCAATTAGAAAAGTACAAACAGACAACACACAGCAGCTTCTGGCATAATTAATATATAAAAAATAAATAAATAAAATAAAAAAGGGAAATCAACACACTAAATAACATGATTTTGATACGACCTGGATTTTGTAAATTTAGGTGCATCTTGATTCATCAGAATGTCAAAACTTGAACAATTCATGCCGGTTAGTCAGTTAAACATTTAAGTCATGTAACATTTAGACTCATTGCACATAGTTTAGTTTCTATTCATTTTAATGATCAAAGCTTATGTCTTGTGAAAACCTAAAATATCATTCTTCAGAACATAAAACATACTCATTTGACTATTACAGAAAAAAAAAACATATTTGCATGTATGTTCAATGTAGTGTTACTGTAACAAATTATCCCAGAACTTATTGTGATTAACAATATATTTTTGTTTTGAGACAATTTTCAAGTAATCTAACAGTGATGGCATAATGTCTTTTATTTCAGTAGGTTTTATTTAGTTTTGTAAACGTACAATTTACTTCCAGTTACAGTTCCTCTGTTAATTATTTCAGGAAACAAACATGTTTTCTCCTTGTGGGTTTTTGCTATTTCATTAGTTTTAGTTAACTTGGTTAGTAGGTGTTCAAACTTTATTTTGGTGCTTTAGCATTTCTGAACCATCCCTCTCACTTGGTAGACGATGCTGCCATTAACTGTCAAGCTAATGTCAAAAATGATTGAATTCAGAAAGATTAGTTTAATATCACAGTCAGCTTTTTAAACGTTGATCAGTGAATTACCGTATCCACTCTATAAGGCTGTGAACGTGCTGACACACGTCAACAGCAGCCATCAGTCTTCCGGGATGTTTCTCTCCTTTTTTTCACATCCATCCCCCCTCAGAATCTCTCACCTTCATCGCCTTCATCCGCTCTGTAGCTTCTGCTGCCACACACATACACACACACACACACACATCAGGGACTATTGAGCCAATTTACTGTCGTAACAGCTGTAGGAAAATCCCCGTAGGTCTTAAACAAACCTGTGAGACTCTGTTGAATGATGTGTAAGTGGTTTTAACCATTTACTGATTCGATCTCCAGAAAGAACTTCATATTGAGCCTTTTAGATCATCGCCCTTGTCCAGCAGTGATTTTTCTACTTTTATAGTAAATCTGTAATGATTTAAATACAGATGACGTTCGGAAACATAAAAAATGTGTATGTTTTTTTTTTTTGTGCTTTTTAAAACACTAAGATGTGAAGCTAAAACTTCTAAAAAAGAAGATTTTTAAAAAGAAAAGATGCGGCATGTGTCGGTGTTGTTGAAGAGCGCCCTGTGAGCCTAATGTTTCACGCGCCTGGTTTGTTTCTCCGCCTGCAGGGCGATGCGAATCGCTCCTACTCCGACGACGACCACTCGTCCTCCAACTATGATGAGAGTGAGAAACGAGACTCCATTAAGCTGTCTGGTGAGTTCACTCGCCTCGCAGTTAAAGCGCTGGCTCGTTTCTGCTGGAGATATTTTGTTCCTTGTTATTCTTTGGTTCAGTAATCTCAGCTACAAGCCCTAAAAAAATAAAAATATCTAAGAAAAAGTCAAATAAAGTGGATGGATTTTGATATATTTCAAGATATTTCACAAATGTGCCTTTTTATTTTTCAATTCCTGTACTGATATCTGAGGTTTAGTATCGGTTTATACTGCTCTGACACTGAAAAACATTGCCGGATTGATTTAAAATGTTTGTTTTTTTTAAACACAGACACAAATGTACTGAATAACTCATTTATTTTTTAACCCTGCACCAGTACAGCACACTTGAATACACTAATAGCTTCACAATCTTGGTCAAAAAATGTAAGAAAAAACAATTAACAGCAACAAACCTTTGCAAGTGCAACCAGAAATTCTAAATATCATGTAAAATAAATAATGATATAATTCAGAGCATAAACCATAGAATTAGACTGAATAGATCTGCCCCTATGGATCAGGCACATTGTCATGATACACAATCTAGTATCTATTTTTAATATCAGGTCCGATATTATCGGACTGGCGCATCTCTACTTGACACGGGATAAAGTGATGGAGATAGAAAAAAAATATTTAAAATCCTAACCTAAAATAAGTGTGACATTAATTATATTAATTATATCAGTTCAATTTTAACGTCTTTATTTCATTTTGTGCATCATCTTGTTTATATTGCACACAGTGCAAAAGTAATCTTAACCAACGGAAATGCAAAAGCATGTAACCAAAATATTTACCATTAAACTGTTAGATTTCACCCTGAAATTGGGGTAAAAAAAAAAAAAAAGGTTGAAAATAAAACACATGCGTCATGCCACACTTTCCAGCTTTCAATTTATAGCAAATCTTGAAAACGACGCATTATTTTCCTTCCAGTTCACAATCTTTTGTTACGCTCTCTCGCTCTGAGCCCAGATTAAGTACATTATAGAAGTTTGTTGCCCAGAGTTTGTGCTCGGAGGGTTCATTCAGCAGTTTTACAAGATGAAATACATTTTTATCTTTGATTTGATCTCCCAGCAAACCGTTTCAGCCTGGAGCCGAAGGAACGCCAGCATCACTTCAGATGTGATCTTTGCGGTGTAAAAAGCTTCAGCTTATTTCTTAACAACCAAAACAACAACAATCCACACTTTCCACTTACATAAGCAAAACACACAGCTATTGTTTTCCTTTTTTTCTTCTTGACAGATCTGTTTATGTGAAGTGTGATTCTTTCTGTGACTAACTGAACTCGGTTTCTGTATTGAGGATATTTTAGATATGTTTTTATCCTGAAACTATATTTGACTTTTTTATAAATTCCTCACAAAGACTTGAACTCCAAAGAAATATTTTACACTACAATTAAAGACAGACAAGACAAAATGTGAATTTCTACTAGTCTTTGTTTCTAATAAGAGAGCCACAGATTTTTTTTTTTTTGTTTGTTTTTAATCAAACTTACCTGGAAAGTCCAGTTCGTTTGTGTATTCATATTCGAACTCTGACAAAAAAGCGAACTCCTGTCTGCATAAAGTCCTTAGTCAAAGTTCGGTTAAAGTGAACTCTGGTGCGCTCCACAAACAGGAAGCGGACTACAGCGCAGGGCATTTTGGGTAAATGCAACCAAAACAAATAGCGAGTCTAGCAGCAGAAATGGCTCTTAGTCTTTTACCAAAGATAAATGAGAAATCCTACAACCACTGAAATCTGACCATACTCCATTGTTGTTTACATTTTGAGAAGAAGGAAGTTGCATTTTCTTCAGAGGATTTTGTCGTTTGCCTCAGTGGTTCTGGGTGCAGCGCCACCACAGGCGAGGAGGAGAACAGGATTTTTTGTTTTTTTTAAAGATTCTGTTCAGTGTGAAAACAAATCACACCAGCTTAAAATGCAACAAATTACGCGTGCTTCCATTGCAGCTTTCTGGCCTATCGCTGACCACCGATATTTAAAAATTCCGATTTTGGCCAGTCCAAATGTCGTTTGCCTGAAATGTTGCTATATATAGTAAGAAAGTTACTGATTTGGCAACAGTTAGGTGACTTTGGCTAACCGAAATGTTTGCAGACATGACCGGCCTCCTCTGCTCTCATGGTCTCCTCATGAGCAGAAGACGACAGTGGTTGATTTTTAGTTAAAAGGTCTAAAAATCTTTGCTACGGTAGAAAGAAAAGATTCGCTTAACATTTAAGTATCGACCAGTCACCAATCTCCCAAAATTAAGGAAATCGCCGCCGATAAATCGGTGCATCCCATGGCAAATGTTCTGATTTTGATCCCCGATCGAACTTAATCTACTTGACCATCAGGCGTGGAATGGAAAACTGTAGCACAAAAAGGAAAACAAAGCTTTATTTTTATTTTATTTTTTTCTCCTCACTTATCTCTAGATCCAAGAATTTGTACTCTGACACCAAACGGTCACCTGGAGCTCGGGGCCCTGTCGGGCTCCAGGGGGTCCTACTCCTCGGAGAAGCGCAGCTTCACCAACGAGTCGAGGAAGAGCAGCTTGATGAGCCTCGGGCGGAGCAGCCTGGAGAGACGCTCCCTTTCTCTGGTACTTCATCGCCCTGTCATCCCCACAGAGCCACACTGAACATGCAGTTTATGTCACATTAGCTGTTTTTAAACTCTGTGTCATAATTTCACTGAGGCGTGTGTTTGCTGTTGCTATGGCACCACTGCGACGATTGAATACAGGAGGAGGAATTTGTTGCTATATCAGCACACACACACAAAAAAAAAAAACGATTTTGTAACAGGTGCACATTGTTGTATGATTAATTTCTTAACACTGCCATCTATGTCTGTGTGGGAGGGATTTTAGATTTGATCAAGTGAATCGAGTTTGATGCGCTTTGATGTATATTCTATTCATTACAGCTCTGGTGCGGTTTCAGCCTCCTCATTAAAATCACATAATTGCCTCGGGTAAGCCGCACGCACCCAGTGCTTAATGCACATGTACAAAATACATTCTTTTCTTTTTTTTTCCTTTTGTAAACTGAACTGAAGCCTTATGAAGTACATACACATGTATAAATGTATGATGGCAACTCCAGGAGGGAGACGTAGAGAAGTGAAAACACAGTAATGGGTGAGATAATGAAATGCGGCGGCGCTCGTACCTCAGTGGTTATGATGCTAAACTCAATGTGTGCATAAGATCCTCCTCACTTTGATACCTTTGAGGGGTTTTTTTCTATAACAAGGGAGCAGTCGTAGAACCTGGTGCTGGAAACAATTGGATGACAGGCATTCAAGAGGACGTGTTCATGAAGAACTTTTATTTCTTGTTCTGGCTGAAGTTTTGTCAGCGCTCATTTAGCCAGCGCTTTGATGAAAAAGCACTGCAGGGTGTGTGAATCAGATCCAGTTAGTGGTGCTCTGCTCTGCTCTGCTTTGTTGTTGTTGTTGTTCTGCTGCTTATCTGTTTGGGTGTTGATAGGACGGGTTGGATGCAGCGCTGTGATACGATCGGTGTCACTCTTTTTAACGGGTTGCTTCTGCGTTTGATAGAGGCTGAATCAAAATGATTTTCTTTTTGTTGTTGATGGGGAACTGAAATCTGGTGCAAGTCGGGGGTTGAAATACCTTGACTTACTATTCACGATTACAGAAAGTGCTACCAAAAGTTAATTAGATGTACATAAAATGTGATACTTTATGCTGAAGTACTAAACTTTGAACATTAGGCTTTGTGTTTGCTCTCGTACTTATTTTTTGTTTCAGCTTCATTTTTTTTCTTTTTTCTGTCGCTTTCATTTCAGATCATCGAACAAATGGTAAACTTATTTAAACATAACACAAGTAAATTTAAAAAAGCAGTCTTTAATTTGTGATTTTATTTAGTTAGGTGAAAAAAAAACTATCTAAGCTAACCTGGTCTTATGTGTAAATAGCTGTTATATATTAAATGATGGTTGATCGTAGCGCTTCGTGCCATATACTGAATAGTATGTAGTGGATAAAACAGGCTCCGTTAATGCAGTGCTAAAACATAACATTAACTTGTTACAGTTTTACTATGCTAACTTATTAAGCTAACTTAATAAATCTGAGCATCAATTATGAGTGTAATTACTTCAACTGCACCAATTGTATATATAAATAAATCCCAAAGCTTTCTGAAGTCACATTGTTAACTTGTAAAAAAAAAACAAAGCTACTTTCTTTCTTAACTTGGTTAATTAAAAGTAATGTAATTTTTAAAATGTTTTTACCTCTAAAGGCCCTTAACTTATTTAAATCAAGTGCTTATTATAACTAAAACAACATAAGTCAAATCCAGTCAACTTATTCGATTAAAGTCAACACTGTAACTCAATACGCTTAAAGTTTCTCTGGACTTGATCAAAGCCAAGTTATATTCACTCATTTTTTCAATTATGTACAATGTTGCAAGTTACAGTGTACCTCCTTAGTGAAACCTTGACTCTTTTCAGATAAATGTTTTTTACTGTTTGTGTTTACGTTTCAGCGCCATGGCCGCAGTTCCAACTACCACAACTGGGGGCGACCTTTTCCTCCACAGTCTGGATGGAGTCGCAGGTAGACAATTATTAGCTGTTTATTTAACATTTTTGTTTTAATAAATTCTTAATATGAAACCTGAACTGTCCATATGCGTGATTCGTGTCTCTGCTGTGGTTTTTGCCGTTAACTGCAGCAAACATACAGAAGATTGTCGATTTCTTTTACATTAGCATTTCATAAGTTGGCCATGCTTTTCATCTTCTGCTCCTCAGGTCCAGCTCCAACAGCCTTGGTAGGAGGACCTACGGGTTCAGTGGGGCGCCCCCTGTTGGCGGCAGCCTGCGTGTCCGCAGCACCCGCTCCCCCTACTCCTACCACCATGCTTCGGAGCAAGAATCTCTTCTCTCGCACTCTCTCCACTCGCATCACTCCCATCATCCCCTGCCGCCCCCGATGTTCCTCTCCAGACATTTCGGAGGCAGACGGGATCGGCGGGCTCTTTCCCTGGAACTCCCGGAATTGCTCCGGACTGGCGGACAAGCTCCGGCACCGCCACCCGTTCAGATCCCTGACCACGTGAGAAAGAGCGGGTCCGGGGCGGCGGGCTCGCTCACGGGGGGCTCGGGAGCCGGCAGCGGTCTGGGAGCGGACCACCGTGACTGCAACGGCAAGGCGTCGGGTCACCACAACCATCTGATGACCAATGTCTTCCCTCAGGTCAACGCACGCAAGGACAGAGCAGATCTTGACGAAGAAACAGACTATGTGAGTGGACAAGCTCCATTATTAGATTCTGAGCAGTACAATACCCTTCTACATCGGCACCTAAATGTGAATTTTATATGTCTAGTTGTTCATGTTTGCATGTTTGACAATAATATAGCTATTAAACACGCATATTTGTTCTCATTATTGATGAAGGCAAAGAAATGGTTTTATTCTTTTCCTGTTGGTTTGTTGTTTGGTTTGCTTGGGTTTTAGTGAGATCTGAATAATGGCATGTCTGTAATTAATTATTAGATGGATTTTCACCAGTTCATAATCTGTTAAATCATACTTGATTACATCAACCTGTCCAAAAACTGCAGGTGGAAATGAGCATTTTCTTGCCATAATGTCCCATCTTAAAAGGTTAAAGAAATGTTGTACATCGTCTACGTGTAAATAACTAAACAATATATTGAACAATACAATGTTATCATTTTTTCTATTTGCTTTCAGGAAATTTACAACTTTGCACACCTTTTATTTCTACCATTATACCAGATTCTGACTAAAACCCTTTTCTGTTTTCGTTAAAGAGTTGGTGCTTCCGTATCCAGAAAATGATGGAGGTTTACAAGCCAGACTGGTGTGAGACTAGAGAGGACTGGTCTGTCTACATGTTCTCTCCTCAAAACAAGTGAGTGCAAACATTCTTTTAACTTCTAAACATCAAAGATGATTTGAGTAAAATGCATAATTTCTTTAAAATGTTGTTGGTTAAGTCTAAACAAAAAGTTATCAAAAAGAATGCAGTTTTACAAATCCACAACATGAAATCAGCTGTGAGATACTGATGTAAAGTTTAAGAAATCAGTGGAGTGAATGAGACAAAATATTTTGGCTTTTTGTAAAAGTGTATGTATGGCAACATATTAGGGCCATTGCAGACAAAAAAAAAGAAAAAAGTAAATTTCCACTACAAAAAAAAAACACAATTTAAATTAATCCCACAAACTTTCTATAAAAGTTGAAAATGTGCAAAGAATTCAGAAATTTTGAGATTAATCTCAGAAATTTTCCAAACGTCATACATTTTCAATTTTTGGAAATTTGGACATTTTCTGAGTTTCCAAAGTCAAAAATGTTTGACTTTAAAAAAAAGAAAATTTCTGAAATTAATCAAAAAATTTCTGAGTTTTACTTTGTGAGAAATTTACTTATGTTTTTTCTATCTACAATGGCTCTAATACACTGTTTGTGCGTATATATTTAATAATATTTATCAAATATTAAATATTTTGTTTTGTAGTCAATTGTGTTAATTCATTATTAAACAAAGCTTAAACACAGAAATGCCAAGTGAGACCAGCAATGAGAGGAAAACAGTTTATTGACAGAGCAGAGATAAACACAGGAAATCAATCTACAAAGCAATCTTCACAGGCAGGGCTTAATTAAAGGCCAAATCTAGAATGGAGACGTAATCATCAGTGATGGGGGTTTGGGAAACGAAAATAAATTATGACAAACTTGCTGCACAGGTGGGTGAAGTTGTTGGCAGAACATGTTATTCACGCACTTCAGAACTGCATGAATAACACTTCACATAATCAGCAATTGAAAATCCCAAGAAACAAAACTGAAGTTATGTTTGGTCTAGAGTCAGTACACATCTTCAGCTAAAAAAGCTAGAAATTAGTGATCAGGTTTGAAATCTGGGCCTAGTGATGGACCTGAACCTTCAGAGCCACATAAAGACGGTTACAAAGTCGGCCTTCTGTCACCTGAAGAAACATTTCCAGAATTAGAGGTCAAGATCTAGAGAAACTCATCCATGCTTTTATCTTTAGTTGCATTGATTACTGCAGCAGTGTCTTCACATCCAGAACACTGCTGCTGTTCTGACTAAAACCAGGAAGATAGAGCACATAACACCAGTTCTAAAGTCCCTACACTGGCTCCCTGTAGCTCAGAGAATAGACTTCAAAATACTGTTGTTAGTTTATAAATCACTGAATGGCTTAGTACCACAATACATTAAGGATCTCCTGTTGCTGTACCAGCCTTCCAGACCCTTCAGGTCTTCTGGTTCCTGTTCTGCTCTGCATCCCCAGAACCAGAACCAAACGAGGAGAAGCAGCATTCAGCTTCTATGCACCACAGATCTGGAACAGACTTCCAGAAAACTTAGATACTGACATAACTGCCTTGTTGCTGAAGTTGGCCTTACAAGTAAACTTGACCTGACATCATGGTGTCGGACTGATTATTTTTACCAGTATGACATGGCAGCTGGTCAGACTTGGTGGAAAGATGAAAAGTACTAAATAAAGGTCAATACTGGTAGAAAACCTGTTAGTGGCTTCAAAAGAGCTGAATAGAGTTACTCCTCAGCAGAGCTACACTGAAAGCTCTAAGCTGACAGAGTTTCAGTCTTCACTCAGAGTCACCAGAGAAACTGTCAAACACCCTCCATCCTGACTCACCTGAACCCATTTTCAGAAGATAACTGTGGAAATTTCAGTGTGTAGGTACGCAAGGAGAATAGAATAAAAATAAAACGTTGAACGTCTGCAGCATTTTTTCAGTCCCACATTCTAATCAATTGGGATGTTTCTCCAATAACGATGATTAAAACAAAAAACAACATCCGCTGACCTTTATTCAAGCCAGTGCAGGATTGCACAGTAAGACTTAAAGAGCCTTAAAGCTGCATTGTGGAACTTTTTATAAATAATGTATATATATACACACACATTATATATACATACACATTATATTGTATACATACATATAATGTTCCTGTACACTATGCCCGCCACTTGGTTATGTCGTTCCATGTCTTGCACCCTGCTGTTATGTGCTGGGTGTCTGTCTCAGAGGCCTCCTTGCACAACCTACACCTTGGGTCTTGTCTGGTGTGGTAGATCTGAGCTTCTATTGCTCTGGTGTTTAGGGCCTGTTCCTGTGCAGCCATGATGAGGGCCTCCGTGCTGTCCTTGAGTCCAGCTTTCTCCAGCCATTGGTAGGATTTCCTGATATCAGCCACTTCATGATGGTTCCTCCAGCACCTTGTCCTCTGTTCCCCATTGCCTGAGACATTCGCTGATGTATTTATGGATCTTGGATGTTTCATCCTGGACAGTGGATCTCACACTCACTAGTCCTCTGCCTCCTTCCTTACGGCTTGTGTACAGTCTCAGGGTGCTGGATTTGGGGTGGAACCCTCCATGCATGGTTAGTAGCTTCCGAGTCTTAACATTCGTAGCCTTCATCTCTTCCATTGGCCAGCTAATTATTCCGGCAGGGTATCTGATTACTGGTAAGGCATTGCACGGATCTTGTTCTTGCCATTGAGCTGGCTTCTCAGGACTTGCCTTATTCGTTGGAGGTATTTGGCTCCTTTCCTTGTGACCTCATCGAGGTTGCCATTTGCTTGCTGTATTCCCAGGTACTTGTAGCTGTGCTCTATGTCTGCTATTGTTCCTTCTGGGAGTGATACCCCTTCTGTGTGGACGA